TCCAGCTTCGACAGGCCCGATCTCCTGGGCGGCCTCGGGTTCGGCAAAGAGTCGGAGAGGCTCGGCCTCGACAAAGATCCAGTCCCCTTTTTTCTGAAGTGCGGTGGGTCATGGCACGGGCCACTGGCAAGGTTTCGGCACTGTGCTCTTTTCTAGTCGGCTCGGGAATCAAAGAAGCACATCGATCAGGAAACGACGGCACGCGGAGCGGCAACAGCCTGGCCATCGCTCGGACGTCCATTCCCTGTGTTTTTTTGTTGGTTTCGTGCGTGGTTTTTTCGCCAAATGATCAAGGATGCTCCTCGATGGTCCTCGCCGGAGGAAAAATACACACGTCCGAGCGATGCCAAGCAGCTGGTCGGATAAATCTAGGCGGTTCGGGTTTTACGCCTTCCCGCAGCGCCGGCACCTGCGAGCTCTGCGCGGGGCAGGCAATCATGTGCGAGAGCGCAGGGCCGCACAGTTGGCATTTCTCAAGCATGGAACGCACGGGCGCGCCTTGATCCTTGATCTGATTTGTGAGTATAGCCGTAATTTCCCTGCAGAGGGGCCCCGCGCTGGCACATGCCGAGACGATGGTAGACCACGCAAGCAGTTATGAATGAACGTCCGAGGGGAAGCACGCCGCGGGCGGCTGGAGCGAGGGTTCCTGAGAACGACCTCGACTCCTCTCTTGGCGGACAAGCCCATCAGCCTTAGCGAGGCAGCTGGGGGCCCACTGCGTGCGCGGACCGCTGACGATTGGCTATGCGATTGGAGCATGAGAGATCCGGGGGGCAGGAGGGCCTGATCTCTTGGGGCCCGTCTCCTCGCAGAGGCGGGGGGGAGAGGGCCAAAGCTAGCCCGACGGACGCGGCTCCAAGAGCTGCAATCCCGGCCAAACCAAAGCACGCCAAAGAATCCGGAACTCAAGCGTCTTACGAGCTCGGCTTCAACCTTCCGCTGCAGAACGCCACGGACATCCTGGCCATCGCTCGGACGTCCATTTCCTGTGTTTTCTGTTTCGGTTTCGTGCGTGGTTTTTCGCCAAATGATCAAGGATGCTCCTCGATGGTCCTCGCCGAAGGAAAAATACACACGTCCGAGCGATGCCAGGACGCATGGCGTAGCCGACCCCGAAGGAGACGCAGCAGAGCTGCCATCCGCGCGAGAGAGCCCGCCGCGGGGAGGGCGCGCCGACGGTCCCCCGGACGGCCCAAGGAGGGACGGCTGAGGTGGCCTCCAAGACGACCAAAGCTCTTCCTCCTCCTCCTCCTTCTCCTCCTCTTTCTCCTCCTCCTCCTCATTTTCCTCCTCTTCCTCCTCCTCCTCCTCCTTCAACTCCTCCTCCTCCTCCTCCGCCTCCGCCTAAGATGTGCCCAAGAGAACCCGACGTGGCCGCAATACGTAACCACACAGCGGCCCAAGATGCACGCAAGAAGGCCCAAGATGGCCTCAGGATAGCCTCAATATGGCCTCCAAGGTCGAAGGGGCCGCCGAAAGATCCTCGAGGAGGGTGTAAGAGGCCAAACTACCTGACTAATTATCTGTGTCTTGCTTGATTGCGGCCTTTGCTTCAGTTCGGCCTCCCGACGGCCCAAGAGGCCTCCAAGACGGCACCCTGACGGGCCAAGAGGACCCCCAGACGGCCCCTGAAGGGCCCCCCAAAGGTCCAGGAGATCTCCAACATGCCCAAGATGGCCTCCAAGACAGCCCTGGTGCGCTCCAAGAAATCAAAAAAGTCCGGCCCAAGACGCCTTCCGACGGGCCACAACGCCTCCCAGGGAGCTCCCGAGGGCTCCTAAGAGGCCCAAGGAAGCCCAGAGGCCTCCAAGAGGCCCCCGGGAAGCTCCCAGGAGGCCCAACCGGCGCCCCGTGAGGCTCCCAAGAGGCCTCCTCCTCTGCTCCTCAGTGTTCCTCACTCTTCTGCTCTTCTTCTTTCTCCCCACATGTTTCCCACATGGTCTCCACAACGGCTAGGGTAACACACAGTCCGATAGCTTGGCCGAGCACTGGCTGGAACGTTCGGCCAGGTAGGCGCTTCCAAAAAGCAGAGGCGGCGGTGATTCGCCGTAGGCGTCTTCGACCCGCCGCCCCCTGTGGCTTGCCACAGGGGTACACGGCGTGCCAGATTGTTGTCAGCTGTTAGTTCGCTTTAGGTTCCCAGCATTAAAGAGTCTCTCCCGCCAGAGTCTCCACCCTGGACGGACCCAAGTCGTCGGTCTTCCCGCTCAAGACGGCCTCGAAGACGGGCAAGATGGTCTCCAAGACGGCTACGGTGGCCTCCAGAGAGCCTAAGATGGGCCCAAGATGTCTCCAAGATAACCCAAGATAGCCCAAGATGGCCCAATGCGGCACAAGGGGTCTCGAAAACAGCCAAAGACGATCTCAAGGAAGGCCCGCAGAAGCCAGCGCCCGTAATTTTCCGTTGGTGTTTGCAGGGTTCTGGTGTTGGCTATTTTTTGGCAAACAGAACCGACGATCAAAGACTGGCCAGAGGCCACCAAGATAGCCCCAAGAGCTCCCAAGAGGCCTACAGGATGGCCCTCTGACGGCCCAAGAGGCCCCACAGACGGCCCCGATAGGGCCGCAAGTCGGCCTAGAGAGGCCCCCGAGACGGCTTCCGACGGCGTCAGATGGGCCAGAAACGCCCTCAGACAGCCAAAACGCTTCACAAGGAGCTCCCAAAGGCCCCCAAGAGGCCCAAGGAAGCCCCCGGGGAGGCCTCCAAGAGGCCCCCAGGAAGCTCCGACGAGGCCCAAACAGTCCCCAAAGTGGCTCCCAAAAGGCCTCTCCTCGTCCTCCTGCTCATTTTTCCTCCTTCCTCCTGTTACCCGAATGGTTTCTACGACGGCTGCGGGGACACTTAGTCCGACAGCTTTGGCGGGTGTTGGCCCGACCGTTCGGCCACATAGGCGTTTCCAAAGGGCAGGGGGCGGCGATGATTCGCCGTAGGCGTCTTCGATAGTCCAGCAGACGGACGGGAAGGACTATACCTGGGGGACACACAGAAGGACGAGAAGGCAGGGGATCCAGGCTTCCACAGCGACTCGCTCCGAAGACGGGGCCACAAACCCGTGCCCCGAAGCCGCCCGCGGGGCACGACGAAGGCAACCGTCGCCACGAGCCGCCGCCGAGCGGCTCTTCGGTGGACCCTCTGCCCTGCAACGGAGGATGACGAACGAGCAACACACACCCATACCCATAGGGGAGTCGTTGAGAGGAGGACTGGCTATGGGTATATGGGTGCGGGTTGTCGGACCCTGGGGAACGCTCCCGTTCGAGCGGGGACCCCCATCCGACAACACGCACCCATAGCCCTCTCCGACCCCCCTATGGGTATGAGTGTGTGTTGTTGGTTCGTCAGAGGAAGGAGGAGGGACGATGAGCACGCAGGACGACCGGGTGCGCCGTAGAAGGGGGGCAGGTCGACGGGGGCTTTCGCGCCTCGGCGCGGACCCGGGGGCGGGGGTGGCGGCGGCAGGGGGGGCGCCTTGAGAGGAGGAGAAGAACAAGCCATGCAGTCTCGAGTGTCTCATGGCCCCGGCCATGGGCTCCACAAACACACCCCCCTGGGCCTCGCCCCCCCCCTCCCCTGGCCATCGCTCAGACGTCCATTCCCTGTTTTTTCTTTTTTTGTTTTGGTTTTGTGCGTGGTTGTTTCGCCAAATGATCAAGGATGCTCCTCGATGGTCCTCGCCGAAGGAAAAGTACACACGTCCGAGCGATGCCAGGCCCCCAAGAAGAGGGATGGCGGCGCGGAAGCCTGGGAGCGCGAGGAGGCAAGGCGCTGCGCACGATATCGCCTGTGCACACTCGCGCCGCCGGCCTCCGTCGGCGTGCGTGGTGCGGGTCCTGGGGGCAGTGGCGGCCGAACCCGGGGGTTTCCCCCGGGGCCAACTCTTCGTCTTAGGTCGGGCATGTCCTCCCACAGGCGAAGTTTGGACGACAAGTAAAAAAAGTCAGACAATGCACAACGATAGGCAACAACAGTAAGAACAAATCGTCCCCAGACTATTTGTGTTATTATTTTTGCGCATTCCCCCTGTAGAGGGACACGCCCGACTTCATCTTCGCCCTTAATCGCTATCCGACGTGGAGGGCCCCGGGAGCCCGAAGGCTGCAACAACAACCCCTAGTACCTGTTTTGCTCGGGTCATAACTCGGGTCTCCAGGGCTGCTGGACGGGGTGGCATGGGAGGGTGCCGATCCTGGTGTTCTTGCTCATGCCTCGTGGCCCTGTGCCGCACTCCTGCGAACGAGGCGAGGCGAAGCGAGGACTCCCATCGGGCGTTGGCAGAACTGGGTTTAGTGGAACCTGGTTTAGTGATTTGTACCGGGGGCGCCCCCCCGCCCTACTTCCACTAACCGGAACTGCATTCACCCGAAAAACACCAGTTACGGCAAACCTGGTTTAGTGAATCTGGCCGATTGAGGGGCCCCAGAGCCCTACCACTAACTGGGTCCCCTTACCCGGGGTCCTGGCTATACCCGATCCCAGTCCGCACGTGAGGGCGGCCGCGTGCGGGGCCGGCTGTGGGCGCCGGGGCGCCGCTCATTTCGCCGATGATAAACACGGTTCTGCTTGTACGGTGGACGTAACCATCTTCCAGTCGTGGCCACAGGTCTCGCTGTCTGGCGCAGCGTTTCGTGCCACGTCTCCGCACGCGTGTCGTGCGCATGAGCTCCCGCGCGTGGTGGCCCCACTCCCACAAGGCGAGGGAGAGAGAGAGAGAGAGAGAGAGAGGACGGCGGCCGCGCGCGGGCCCCCGCGGTCACGCGGAGGGGCCTGCTCGGCCCTTCTTGCCGTTCTGCATCTGCACGCCGACCTGGCCGCGCGGCCGAGGAGCGAACGAGCGGGCGAGCGCCAGCGGCGTGCGTGCTCCTCTGGGCGAGCTCTCGCCCGTGCCCTATGAAGGCAAAGCGCGCGGAGGCCGCGGCCTCGACAGGAAGAGCTCCTGTTCAGAGCCAGCCGAAGGCCAAGAGCGAAGGACAAAAAGCGACCATTCGGTACAGTCGTC